TTTCGATCATTTGATGTAAATAAAAAAAAAAAAAAAAACTCGAACACCTTTCTTATTCCCGTCTGGAGATAAAGGCACTCGCGATTTTGTTAATTAGTTACAGTTAGTCGTATTGCTCGTCATGAGACTTTATTTTGTAGCTAAGATGTGTCATGATCCAACCAGTGCATAGATTCGCTCCTTCGTAAGATTCGAGGAGGATTAAAGGCACTTCCTGGCTCGTTCATTTATATAATTCGATGATTTTTCGAAATTCCATTGATTGACTCTTGGCTAATTTTTTCAGTGATCATCTCCGTGCTGGAAGTGACCATTTCTGTTCAGTGGTTGCCTTTCTGGAGCGTCGGACGGTCTATTTCTCTTGAAGAAACCACACTGTTAAAGAAATAAAAGGTATTTAATTTCTCTCTTCCTATTATATCCTATCTTATTTATTAAAAAAAATAACCATAAGAATAATTTACAAAATAATTCCAAAATTTTAAAAATCTATAAACGAATCAAATTTCGATAGATAAATATCTTAATAATTTCACCGAATACACGATCTTATTTAATTTGCATAAACAAACCTTGTGCAGCAGGAAAATAAGCAATAGTAGAATGATGGTTCCAGCGCAGGCGGAGAGTACCACGACCCAGAGCGGTATAACATCCGGTGCAGATGGCGTTATACTTGGCTCGACATTCGTTTTAATTTCGTGGCTCTTGATCACCTGTTCGGCAGGTGTACCTATGAAGGGCTGCTTGGTGACTCGGGCTATCAATTTAGTCGAGACCCTGACTTTTTCTTGAAGAGCTACCTTCTTCAGTGTCCTCGCGTCTACTCTGTACCTAGCTCCGATCCAGACCTCTTGGTCTTTTTTCAAGGGGCCCAGAACACATCTGAGCATGACACACTTGGCGGAATCACATGGACTAACCGGCCCTTGCGTCCTAGGATCGCTTTCAAAATCTACTTTGTCGTCAAATTCGGTTTCGATCGGCTCGTCCTCCAAGTCTCTGGGCACCCTATGAAGCTTTTCGAATTTCTTAAACTCGTATATCCTAAGCATATCGCTCTCTTGCTTCGATGCGGAGCCTTCATTCAAATTAGGATTCTCATTGTGCGCAGTTTTCTCGACAGCCTCGCGATTTTCTCTTGCGTAAACTCTACTGGTCACTCTTCTATCCTCTGTCCTTCTCTCTTCATGAGTGCTGGAATAGCTGGACTCATAATCCTTTTCGATTTCACCGGCTCGGCCAGACTCCTCGTTCCAGGATTTACTGTAACTCTTCGTTTCGTACTTATTGCTAGCGCCACCACCTCCCAAGTACCCACTGTGCGGACTCAACGTGTACGTTCTTTCCTCGGTATAGGTAAAAGAACCCTGAAGAGGAAACCTACGGCCATCTTTGAGCACGATGAACCCTTTGCCAGTCGAATCGACCATGAGCTCACCTTCTATCCTCAAGAATCTGCTGTCTCTGGACTCGATACCCTCAGCAACGTAGCTCTGTCTACCGTAACTGTCTTGCAAAGGGAACATAGACCCGTCCTGGAATTCTATATACTCTCTCCTGTCGGCGGAATTCCTAAATCTTCCCATGAATTGAACATAATGCTTGCCTTGTCTGTTGTATAATTCATAAACAGACGCCGATTTCGACAAAGATCCGAACAATCGTTCTAATTCCTGAGTAGAGCTAACGTTGCGCAACTGGAATCCGAATTCCCCTCCTCGAACAGTCTCCTCTCGATCACCAGTGATGAAACCAGCCTGTATCCCCCGATGTTCACCGCCAGAGCTGCCATAACGTCTCTCCTGCTCGAGCCTGTATTCCTCCTCTTCCATCCTCCTCCTTTCCTCTTCTTGTCGCTGACGTATCTCTTCTTCCTCTACCCTTCTTCGTTCCTCCTCTTGCCTCCTCGTCTCTTCCTCCTGCGCTCTCCTCCTCTCTTCCTCCTGCCTTCTCTGATATTCCAAACGTTCTTGCTCCTCTCGTTGACGCTGCACGGCCAAAAGTTGTTCCTTCTTTCTATGGTGCTCCAGTCGAGCCTCTTCCTCCTGTCGACGCTGGGCCTCTTGCTGCCTCAGATATTCCTGATATCTTTCGTCGCTCTCGTTCACCTCGGAGTTGAATCTGTTCGAGGAAGATACGCGGCCTCCAGAGACACTGGTCTCGCCCCAACGATTCTCCAACGTCTGAGAGTGATTCGTTCTGGTTTCATAGCTTTCGTCGAGGCCTGGAACTCTTGTACCAAACGCGCTGCCATCACTGGACCGGAAACCACCGCCCAAACTGGTCTCCCCGTAACTACCAGACTCAGTGTCAAAAATCACGCCTCTATTGGCAGCGGATAAATCGCCGGTATTTATAGAACTGGCCCCCGAATTGTTCTGCGTATAAGTCGTGATTAGAACGTTTGGTTTGTTGCCAGTGTCAGATAATTGGAACCTTCTTGTCTCGCTGGTGATAACTTGAGAGGAGGAGGAAGAGGAGGAGGATGAGGAGGAGGAGGAAGTGGAGGAGTGACGAGATTTTTGGATGTTCGAACTGTCGCCACTGTTGATGTCGGACTCTTCTTTCTGGGTCATCTTGCTTCTGTCGGCGTCGAATCCTCGTTGCACGTTGATCGTCCTGCCTGATTGAGACTCGTCCAGGATCACTCCCGATGGGTCTGAGTGGTGCGAGTACATTCTCCTCCGTTGATCCAACTGCAAATGGTACATACATTTAGAGGCAGCCAAGTTAAGTTAAGAAGTATATCTTCCGTTTTCCAGTAATTGCAATACAATTTTTTAAAAATCATACCTTTAAACTAAGATAATTCGCATTGGCAGGTTCACAGGCGATGGGTCCAGACGTTTCCGGCTGTTCTAACAAATACAGCAACTCGTTTCCAGCCAACGTTTGCGCTGGCCAAACGAGGAATGCCTCGGCCTCGATGACGTCCGACGGGCCCTGATTCCGAATAGTGTAATTGTGCGTCATGGCTGGGCCAAATTCACCTTCGGTGGTCGCATTCGTCTCGCTGGTATAATTATCCGGATTGTAGTAAAGATCCTTGGGCTTGCTCTCACCGTCCACGCGCAGATCGGTCTCGATCCAAATCGGCAGCCTCAAAGTGTAGCTGTTGTCCCCGGTCGTGAACGGATTCTCAGGGTTGGTCGTGTTCACGTCCATTTCGAATTCGTAGATTGGCTTCATGCCGTGGGAGGTGACGGGTTGCAGCAACACTTTGAATTTGACCAATCCATTTTTCTGCAACGGGTTGCCAATATCGCAGCGAAGAGTGTTGTTGTTGGATTGTTTGGGCGCCGAGCATTGGACGGGCACCCCCATCGTCTCGATCTTTTCCACCTTGATGTAATCGATACCGGCGGGCAGTTTT